GATTTTAACTTATCTAACCAAATTGAACCAATCAATGTTTTCAGTTTTCACTATGCCCATTAGATAAATTTTCATGTAACATTTATGACAAATTTGTCAACAAGTGTAAACAAACATTCATATCTTAATCATCGTGTTCTAATGATGAAAATTGATTTTATTGTAATCGCCAAAACAATTTAGGCCAATCAATTGAATAAAGAGTATCATACTTTTTATTTCGAATAAACTTGTATATTTAAACACATTAAACGATTTGTTTACGGGTGGCAAATCATGCAAACTGTGAGCTATAATTAAAACAAGATAAACTAAAACATGAACGCAACATGATAAAGTTAATCAATTCAAAATAAATCCGAACACGTACGACACAACAAAAGTAAAACAAATTATGAGAGACACCATAAGCAACGTTTTATTGACTTCTATTTCATCAAACTTGTTAGGCTCCTTATCATATAATACAAGCTAGTATATTTATATGTTTTGTATTTATAACATATGCTTGAGTAACCATTAATGAAATTTTAAAATGATGAGCATGATTTTAAAAACATAACAATAGCAATATTTAATGGTGAAATAAGAATCACATATCTTGATATCTTGAAATGAGTAAATAGCTTGACAACAAAATTAAAAATTTTGTATCTTTTAGTGGTAATTAGGTAGCTCCATTTTGACCCTACGTCCCTACCCAATCAATTTCATTAAATCCTATAATTCCAGGTTTTGTATTTGTATCATTCGTTTGTATTGTGCTTCATCAAATTGTATTTGCCTTTACATCGTCTCTTTAACATATAATTTGTATGCGTAAAAAGTAAACAATATATATAGTGAGATCGATTTCAACCTATTCTTAAAATGAGTATGTAAGACTTAATCATAACCATTAAATAGGTATCAAAATTTGTGATTAAGATAGGGCTGCAAACGAATCGAGTCAATCTCTACTCGAGCTCGAGTTTGACCAAACTCGAGTCGAGCTCGAGCCCATATTTTGCATCGTCGAGCGGCTCTAGGTATATGTAAAGTTACTAAAATACCCCTTATATATAATAGCATAGGTGCTTAATAGTAATTTTACTTTTTCACTTAAAAATTTTCGAGCCGAGCTCGAGCATTTTGATTTCGAGTCGAGCTCGAGCCTCATAAATCAAGCTCGAGCTCGAGCAGCAAAAAAAAAATATTCAATCATGCTCGATAAGGCCAATGCTCGACTCGGCTCGCTCGTTTGCAATCCTAGACTAAGACTTAACTATTTAATATTTTTTAGCTAATTAATTAGTCATGATCCTTCAAACTTACAAAAATTACATTATTTATTATATTTTATGCAATCAAATCGTTATGTATTATTTATTTTAACAAATGATCAAATTTTAAAACATAATATTGATATCTAACTTATAAATTATAATGTTCATATTATACCATAAATTAACTTATAATATTCTATGTTTAAAATATAATACAGTTATCTAATCTATAATTTTATTATATGTATACAAATAAATTATAATATTTATTACATATGTGCAAATACACATACTAATTACATTAAAAGGAGTTAAAAACAGAGGAAGGAATTTCTTTGTCCATTATGTTTTGAACAATACTAGTACAACACTCGTGTATTACACGGGTGTTTGTTAAAAAAATATTCTTAAATATTAAAATTAATAAGAAACATAAATATATTAATTGATAAATAATTTTATTTTTATAACTAATATTAAAAGGAAATTTTATTATTATTATTATAAATATAATTTATTTTTTTATACATACAATATGGATGTTAAATCGAAGCTCATCAAGAGATGATTAATTCGATATAATATAAATGTAAAACTGATAAAAAATACAAAAATTATTAGCTTTTAAAATACATTTCTGAGTCAATGGTTATAATAAGAAATGATATTAAAATGCAATTAATACATGTAACATGACCATAAATAATCAACATATTTATGAATAATCCGAATATAATTATTTTTAAATTGGAAGTAAGTTAAAATCTATTCAAGTCTAATAACGAACCATGTAATTTTGCTATATAGGAACTCGAAGCATACGGGCTTGCCATGTAGGCTCAACACGTTTTGAATTAATATATAGGGGGATGTTGGCAGGGGCGTAGCCACATGGTGGCTCACTCGGGCTCCAGCCCGGTCTTAATTTTTTGTTTTGTCTAAATATGTAGTAGTAAAAATATATTTTAGTCATATTTTACTAATTTAATTTATGATAAAATTATTTAATTCATATTAATTTAAATTTATTTTATATTAAACCAAAATATTATACATACTTTTTTTTACATGACTCAAACTTTTTATGTATTTGTTTTTATGGTTATAGCTTACTTTGTCATTTATTCTTCTTTGTTTTCATTTTTAATGTTTGCTTTAAAACACGATTAATTTATATTATTTATGTTCCTTTATATGTGAAATATATCAATTACTTGTTAACTTTTAAATAAATGATATTTGAATATGTGAAATGTATAATTTAATTTTATTAATTTGCGTAGCAAATTCAATGAAACAACATTTGAAATTCCACAATTTAAGTAAAATATCATATAACAAGCATGTCATGTTAACCTGTCTATTCAATTAAATGACATTTGGACTTCCACAATTTAAGTGAAATATCATATAACAAATATGCTGGATTGACCTGCCTAATAATAAAACGTTTATTTCATAGAGGTATTTGAAATAATTTATATTATTTTTGTAAAATAAATTTAAGTAGACAAGAAGAAATTACGCGGTAATATTATTTTTGATTTACTAAAACAACGCGACATATTTTTTATAATTTGGTTTTCATTCATTTTGTAATTTACATTAAACACTTAAAAAATTATCATACTTTGAATTTTCACATAACAATAGTGATATTAGTGAAGCCAAATTGAGTCGAATACGTCGTATTCGAACTTGTGCTCGTATAATAAATGAGAAAGTTTGGCTCGAATTATTTAATAAACCGAGTCAAATCAATTAAGTTCCGCTTGCTTGAATTAGTTTTCATTTTATCTTTTATTATATTAATGAGTCAAGATTGACTTTTTACGAGCCGAACTGAGTTATATTTCCTAGCAAATCGGTTCTAGCAGCTCAAGATAGAAAATATTTCTGGATATGTTGGGCAAAGTTTGTTCAATTTTAAAGAAAACAATATTTGGCCATAATCAACATCTGTTCATTAATCTATCATTATATAAAAAGAATAACCTTTTTACAAATTTAGAAAACATTTTCCCGCCAAAATCATTAAATATATTCTACATATAGTAATTGTTGGACAAATCTGAATAGGCAAAAAAATTGGCTCATTAATTGTGTAAAGATTTATTTCTGTTATTTCTGTTTTTTAGTTTATCAAAATCGTTTTGACAATAAATATTTGTTTTTCTTTTTCCTATTTTTAGTATAAATTTACACGAGTTACAAAATCCTATTGCATACGTCTCACGTGTTTAAAAAATCTCATCCCTTATCTATACAGATTTAAAAAAATAAAATTAAATAGAAACCAATTCATAATTACTACTAGAAATTTATTATCTTTAAAAAGAAAAATAAATAAAATAGTAACCAATTCATAATTACTACTAGAAATCCATTATCTACTTTAAGAAGCTAATTTTCATCGGTCTAATTACTAATATTTTTACAAATATTATAAGCTAACCATACAAAAAAATATAATAATAATTTTGAAATTGTGTTGTAATCAAATTTTTTTATATTCCCTTATACAGAATAATTTTATATTGTTTGACCCCGAATCTTTAGTTTATAATTATTAAGTATTGTTTATTCTCCTCTTTAATTTATAATTATTTTTTTCCTATTTTTAAATAGGATCAATAGTAGTTTCCACTTTCGCCATTGAGTGACTCAAACTCGATGTCTATTTATAATATTGTTCCCGTGCATCGCACACACACTAGATTATCCAATATCATAGTAGGAAATTTCCATTAATTGGGCCCGGATTATTTGTTCACGTCACCCGATTCTCCTTTTACAACTTCAGTAAATAATCATTAGGCTACTGATTGATGTATAATTTTAAAGCATTGATGTGAGCCAAATAAATGTAATTTTTTTTTTTTTTTTCACAGCAAATAATTTTGTAAACCAACTTTAAAATTATGTCTTTTGGTGCATCGGTTACGATATGGATCCATCGGATGGCTCGGCTTATGGAGTCATTTATAATTATCCGTAAAAAGTGTATTGACACGTGTCCTACAATAAATACACATTGAATACTACAAGCCACTCTTCAATTTCCACATTATGAGAATTAAATAATTTTCCTGAAATGAAAATTAAAATATACATGCTGTCCTAAAGTATATATATGAAGATTGTATTAAAAGTTAAAAAGCCAAGGGAACGTGCAGAAAAATAAATAAAAAGTATTTTACTTTAATTCCTTAGCCAAAACCTAAAAAGTAATTAATTTGGTACACATAAAGTACTGCTTATTTTTGTGTTAAATTAAAAAATGTATATTTATAAAACTTTATAATTTTAGTTAAATTTTTCAACATTTACAATTAAATTCTTTTTCAAAAAGAAACATTACATGTAAAATAGTAAACCATATCCATCATCAATCCGACCTTAGCTCAGTTGGTAGAGCGGAGGACTGTAGTGAGATTGCTGAAATCCTTAGGTCGCTGGTTCGAATCCGGCAGGTCGGAAAATACGTATGTTATATATATTTTTTGTTTGGCAAACTTTATTATTATTATGAACCTAATGGCTATGAAGTATGCTTTGATCCTGCCATAATCTTATTGTTAATTTTTGATGAAATGATTGTTTTAATTGAAGAAAAATTGTATCAACCATTAAAATGTATATAAAAGCTAACTTTAGTCAAACCACAATCAAGAATAATTTGTTCTCAGTTGCATTACCATATGAAACACATCCTTCACTTAAAAGTAGAAGAAATTATTGAAATCTACAGAATCAAAGACTGCTTTTGTGCTTTATTGAATATCAAACAACACATAACACTAAAAATATGAATATATAGAAGCATAGGCCTTTCAGGAAGCCTGCAAATATATAACACCACCAATCTCACATAAGTGAAACAAAAGAAAGCCAACAATCGGGACATGGAACTATGTATATTGATTATGTGCTTCAATCTTTACAATTTGATCCAGCTGAGAAGAAACTATTCAGCCCATGAAAATCATTAAACAAATAACTGCCGATTTTTAGACAGCCGGCAGATTCTAGGCGAAGTAACTTGGGATTTTTTTTTTTAACCTTTCTCAACGTTGTGATCACACGTCCGCTTGGTGGTGGATTGGTTTAACGGTGCTGAAAAGACACAATTGACTATTTACAACGTGCAGTAAAAGTTCTGAACCAATAACAGTGTCGGGCAATGAAACGAATCATGTGTGCCCTTAGCTTTTCGCATTCGGGAGAGAGATAAAAACGGGCAAGTCACTTGTGGCTTGGGACTCCCAATGGGCTTTCATATATCATTTCCTGCATTTCAGGTAATAAAAAAGATTCTATATTTAGTAGAGTTCATAAATTAGAAGCTAAAAGATGAATTACATATTCAAATTGTTAGGTGATTTGAGTTGTAATGCTTTATTATCACCAGTTCTTCTTTCTTTGATATCATTTTCATCATTTTCAGCGAGTATTATTCAGATAATTTACTAATCCTTTCAAAGTAACATCCAAACTTTTCAGGATGAAGTATAAGTTTTGACCAAGAAAATAACGAAAACTTTTAGATAATNAAAAAAAAAAAAAAAAAGAAAACCTGATCGCAAACGGGGCAAGTGTCACTTCTTTCCTGCCACTCGAGTATGCACGAGAGGTGAAAATGATGGTTACACTTAGTCACAATCTTAGGATTTTCCGAATCGTACTCTGCACACATTTGTCACAAAAAAAGCAAAAGTTAATTAACTTATTACCAACCGATACATACGCACAACATAAAAGACCAAAACGGTATTCCACCTTCAAGACAAGTGGGACAAACATCTTCTTTTTCTTCTTCATCTTCTTCCATTTTCGTAACATTTAACGGGCTTAACATTGGAAATTCGGGCCCAGGCCCGATTTTCCTTTGAGAGTTTGGAAAAAAGGCAAGTTGAGTAGCCCGATTTGCTTCTTTAAGATGTGGGCTCCCAAAAACCGCATCATAAGGCATGGGTGCAGGTGGCGACCGGAAAGTGTCGGGTATCGACATGTTTGGATCGAAATCAAATGTCAGTCGAGAGTTAAGTAGTGTAGTGGAAGAACCATCTCGAGATGTTAAGGATTGGTACTCTTCCAAAGCTGGTGGGTACTGCAAAACGTGACGTGAGTAAATCGAAGCTCTTCAAATGGAGTCATTTCATCAACAAAGAATTTCTAACGGCCTCGACTAATAGTTTTAGTAGTAAAGTTGAATTTTTGCAAACGAATGCTTCGAAGGTAAGTACAGAAAATTCATAATAACTAATATATTGAGCAGCTCGCTTGGATAATTTCATAATTCGTTTTAATTCAACCATGCAAAACTTGTAAGAGGATATGCAAACAGAAATATTGAAAAAGATGCTTTTTTTTTTTTTNTTTAATCATTTTCTGGTCAAGCTCTCAAAAAGATCACAATATGGCTTAATGTGTTGACAACATTTTCCATATTGTCATCAGCTTATTACATTGAAATTCTAGTAAATCCAGTCAGCGCTTGTTAAAAAGCTGGGAATTAATGAGTTTGAAAACAAAGTCAGCAAACGGGCTAAACTCGGAAATGGGATCAATACTATAGTATAACATACTTGGATTTGGATATCAAAGTTGGTGAAGCTAAAGAAAAAAAAGGGAGTAGGAAAAAAGAATACAATTTTATAGCACATAAACATATACATAAACAGTACAAGGAAAAAGTGGGTAATTGATTTAATACTTAGTAAACAAAAATAATATTGACGCAAAAGAAAATATTAAGTTGAGATTACTTACATAATAATAAACTGGTGTTCCTTGAAGCTGCAGCTTTCTAGAAGAAGAACAGCAACCTCCCATTTTTACCAAGTCCCGTAATTTATTAACTCAATCTAAAAGCTTGCTGGCAGCTCTGAGTTAAATAAAGGGACAGAAAAGACCTGAAAAATCGTTAGCATAAAAAATTGTCACAAAAACAGCAACATGCATTATAAAATGAAGATCCACATTGATGAAAATGATATCAAGAAGCTACATCAGAATCTAACTGAATTTCCCGAATCAACCGAGAACAGCTTGGCAAGGGATCACCATAGAGTCAACTGAGATATAAATAAACCAAATACTATGACAAGTTATGTGATGAATTACTAGAGCCAAATGAATAAGCACTTACATAACTCACTTACTTGCTTTCAGTTAGGAAATTGAATAGACACAGTAGCTCAGAATTATATTTGCATCTGCAATCTGACTTATTAAATGTATGTTTTTTCCTTTATTGAAGGGACAAGATTATTTGCTCAACTACAGCATCACCACCTAGATGAAAATTCAAATGACAAAATAATTGCACAATAAATTGACTGAAAAATACAACCTTACGTGCATAGATCCAACACGAAAATGACTTATAGTTTCACTCGATCAAAAGTAACAAAAATGCAGCACATTTTTATGGTATCCACAACCTTACACAGCAGCAGTCTAGATTTATTTAGTAATCCATTCAACATTAATAGTGTAAATAACCTCTTATTTCTTCTCTCTCTCTCTCTCTCTCTCTCTCTCTGCTTCAAAATCCACACATACATGTGAACTCCAAGTTTACATGATTAAAAGCAAAAATCTGCAGCCCAAACACTCATCCGGCTAGGCTTATTCTTATGCTTAGAAGGTAGCAGCACTAAGATCAGCCCTTTTGCACTGACACATACATCATGATATTTTGATTACAACGAGAAAAAAGGAAAAATATTAGAACTTTCACTTGTTTCCTTCCACCCCTTTATCCTGATAGGAACTAGAACTTCCAATTTAATAATGCCGCATCTACTTTCATTTCATCCTCAAATTTGCACGTGGGCAGCCTCAATTCAAGTAACACATGACTTTTGAACACATAAAAACACACAAGGACAGGCACACAAAAGTTTCACAGACAGCCCACGACCAATATAATTCAGTTTCAGAGCAGCCCCAAAAAGAAAAAAGGAAAAAAAAAAAAACGAAAACATTGAACAAGCACAAATTTTGTTTAAAAGAAGAAACCTTTTACCTCAGACTCATAGTTCGCATAGCCATGGTATCTGATTTTGCAAAAATGATACAAGGGCTTTTGTTTTTTCTAAACACACACTCACAAACACAGGCACACACCAGTTTCATAGAGAGCACACGACCAATAATTCAGTTCAGAGCAACACCCCAAAGAAACAAAAAACAAACGGAAAACATAGAACAAGCACAAATTTTGTTAAAAAGAAGAAACGTTTACCTCGGACTCGTGGTTAGCATAGCCCCATGGTATCTGATTTTCAACAATGATACAAGGGCTTTCTTGTTTTGTTTCAAATTTTCAATTGGCAGTAGTCTTCAAGCTTCGGCTTTTGGACTTTCAAATAGAGAGAGAGAGAGAGAGAGATTACTGTTTGTAAGCTTTGAGAAAAGGAGCGAGTGGAGATAAAGTCAAAAATGGAAAGCTCGAGAGCAACTTGGAAGGATGAGCACGTAATGAAACTAATTAAGTTCTTGAGTATAATCGTAAATAATTGATTAAATTAATTAGCGTTGTCTTTTTGTGAACCAGCCATAAAAACTGTGTGATAGTGTTTAGAGTTGGTGACTTGGTGGGTAGGGGAACCTCATCAAAAAGCATAAGAAATGAAAAAGATAGAAAAATAAAATAAATTTGCAAATGAAAAAAAGAGGAATAGTGAAAAAATATGTATACATGGCTTCGCCCGGACTCGAACCGGAGACCTTCAGTGTGTTAGACTGACGTGATAACCAACTACACCACGAAACCAACTGATGATGGAGCCTAAACTTTTACTTTGTTTATCGTGTTAATCATATATTATATTACCTTTCCTTTTTATTTTTTTTTTCTTCCAAAATTAGTTTAAGGGGGCGATTGTTTATAAATTGTAGTAAAAAAACCAATCAAAACTCAAATTTAACTCAATTTTAACTCAACTCCACTATCTCCAATATTATCAATATAATTAAATGATATCAACTAATCATTCTTACACATCACATCAACTTTAATTCACTATTCATCTACTCACATAATTTGAACTAAACATCACTTCCAATCATTTTCTCATACCTTTACATCAAATCAACTTTAATTATTTTATTTTAAATATTATTTTAATATATCCATTAACAATTAACCATACCACATTTTTTCAAATTTAACTATAATTAAAAAAAAAACTTAAATTTTTACTAGTTGAATTCATATACAATCACCTCCTAAGGATCGATAAAGATTAAAGACAATCCACAACAAAGAATTTAGGTCCCGCCGCAGACGCAACGTAGTCTCTAATATTTTAATTATTTCAAAAACTAGTTTCAGCTTTTGTGATTCCATTACTTTCGAGGATTCTGCAAATTAAAATTTGTTGTTGGTTATTTTCCTGAAATTTGTTTAAATAAGTTTTATATAGTTCCTCGTGGCCCCAATTCCAGAAGTATATTAATTAAATTCGATATCAGTGTTCTAAAAATATTCCATAGGACGGTTGGGATGAATATAGTTGTACAATTTTTATTACAATTAATTGGAGTCTCCCTAATCTTTAATTATAATTAGTCAAATCTTGTGCCTCAACCTTTTGATAGGTGTTATGACATGCCAAATATCATTTTTCACCTACTTAATTAGAGTGGTTATTTCGAACATAGTCAAACTATATATAATGCGGCTGCTTGGTGATGGTTGGATTTGTTGGGAGTTTGGTGTTCATTGTTTGTGTATGAACACTACAAATCGGTAGAGGAACAAATTATATGTGTGTGTGAGAGAGATAAATATTTATGATAAAATACATTATTATTAAAACTTTAGTTTATAAAATTTACATATAAATAATTTATTTATATTATTTAATGTATTGTGTTAAGATACAAATCATATAAATATGGTTTAATATTTTATAAAATTAATTACTCAATTCAACAATTGACCCACGGCGGTTGGACCGGTGACCGGAGTCCAGCCAGGATTAATCATGGGTCAGAGTTTTTTAAAACTATGATAAAAAGCTATTTGTAACAACTTGGTTGTTTTTTAATGTTGCTGCTATAATAGGAATGTAGGCTATTAATGTTACATTAAAAATAATGTTTGTATGGATGTTAAATGAAATGAGTCACTCGTCAACTCGATCGGGTTGGCTCGCTCGGCCCATTTAATAAATATGACGTATTCGTTTTATTAATATTGATAAACGAGTCAAGTTCGAGGTTGACTTTTACACCCGTAAATATTTGTCGTATAAATACAAATTAAACCATGATCTTGATAAATAAAAACATATTTATAATTCTACAAATATCTGAAATTTTCAAAATTTGACTAATGTCAACTCCAATATCTAAACTTATCCCCAAAAAGAAACTAACAATAGTAAACATGGATCATGTTATAATGATATAAAGGATAACATAATACCATTATCATAATTGTGTACTATACACAACACAATACTTTTAAGATCTAACAACTACTAAACTCACACATCACCATCTTTCTATCACCCTATTATATCAAAGTAGTTTAATCCAATAAACAAACACAAACTAGTGACACAACAACTATATTATTAATTATTAGTTGTTATACAACTGCTCCAAATCCAAATATGAGCTATGCAAATGTAGAATTATAATTATGGGCTCCAATGGTGTTCAAGAATATCATCACCAACTGAAGCTGATGGACTCAAAATGGATATTATCCGGCCCATTTGAGCATATGCCCGCAACATCTTTTCTCATCTTCCAAGGCCCACTAACAAGTACACCAACATTGGAATTGGATTCTTTGTTCTCCATTAGAATCCCTTCATAAGTATATAAATTAAAACTCGTATCAAAATCTCTCTTGATCATATGGCAACAATCTATGAATATCATTTCCATGCAATGGGTCAATTACATAAAATAGTGAACACTCTTTTAGAGAATTTTGTTAATAACTTTGAGAGATAACATTTTTGTTATGCAAATGGTGTAACTATAAACTTTTGGAAATCAAACTAAAAAGTGGGAATGCTCGAGATTCGAACGTCACTTACTCTTTAGATCAGGCCGTTTACCATAGTGCACGTTGATGGACTTGATAACCGATTGCAGGGGAAGGCTCTGTAATTCCACATCATCATCCGACGAACCAAATGTGTTTCCAATTCTCTCCATGTCTTGAATTTGCTTGTCTTCCTTCGCATTCCGATTCTTGTTCCACACGAACACACTACTTGCTGTTGCAACTATGGACACGCAAATCAAGAAAATGTTCATCGAGTTCTTCTTGGTGTACGAGTACAACAAGTTGGTGTTCTTGTCGATAGGGTATACCACGTATTGAGTGAAAGTTCCTAGGAGCACGAGAAAAATGACAAAAGATGATGATATGATCGTCGACAGCCAGAGCCAGCTGTTGGGGCCCAATACCGGGAAGATTGGGGCGTCCGATGGGCTCGGCCTGAACTGCACGGTTCGGATCGATTGTGGTTTTTCGGTAGGTTGGGCCTTTTCTCTCGTCACGTAAGCCTCGATTTGTAGGGCCAAGTTGCAAGAGTTTGTGTGTGAGATTGGGGGTATGAGGTCTAGCATGGAGAGATGTGAGGTGTTTTTGAATACACTAATGAGCATAAGTTTGGGGATTTTGCAATTTTGAATGGTTGAGGTTATGAACATAAGCTCTGTAATTATGGAAATGAAAGGGGTTATTCCACTCCCTCCACTAATCATCACCAACATATCATGCCTGTGATGAAAAATTTTGTTACAAAATATGACAGTAGAATTTTTCTACACAAATTAATTCAGCCTCAATTAAGTATTTAGCCATTAAAAATTCAGTCAAAACCAGGTCAAACCCAAGTTTTATAACTAATTTTTCCAACAAATTTAACCAAGCGGCATTCAAAATATTGCAATTAGACTTTAACTTTAGAGTACTTTTTTGTATTTAATTAATACCTGAGGAAATTTGTCGTGTCGGGTCCGTATGGTCCTTCAACCGATACTTGAAGACGGCTCACGGAGGATGGAGATGAGACCGAGTCGTAAAGCTTTTTGGTCCAACTGCCTTCACATTTGACTACAATACTTAGCCTCTCTGGTTCTAAGCTGCTGTTTGAAGTTATAGTGAAAGGATGCCATTGGAGCTTGGAAATTATGGGCAAGTTTATAAACATGGTACTTGTTGGACTGTAAGTCAAGCCTGCAACAAATGAAATTAATTACAATTTTTTCAAGTTAAATATATCCAATTCCCTATGCATATTTCATGTTTTTGAAAAAGAAAATTGGGGTCATTGCAAGTGATCATGAGAGTTTTTGCAAACAAAATTTCAAGTGCTTTAGTGTGTGAATCAATTTTCACTTGAATGAGTTGTGTATTAATGTTAATCAAATTTTACTTCCCAATAATACTATTTGATTGGAAACTCAAAAGTATCTCAATGAAACTTTGGATCAATAACTAAAATTTAACACACTAGATTAAATTTAGAAACATAAACAATTTAATACGCGTAAAATAACTACCTAAGATGACGTATAAAAAGATTTCTTGTTTCAAAACGATATTCCAGTTCATATTTTATTCCATGACAAGTGTGTAATAGTGACATTATCATAAACACATGTCATTCATCCAATGGAGTGAAACATAATTTGAAATATAATTTCAGAACAACCAATTTTATCCCAAAAAGATTATAGTACTTATTTTTAGATATTGATCAATTAAAAAGGACATTTTATATCTATTTTACTTAATTAGGTTAATACTTAACAAAAGTACACCTAGACTAAGTCAAAGTGTACATACCTCGATACTTGGCGAAATTAAGCTCAACAGTTTCACACGGTAGTACTCGAGCAGAAACTAAACGCACATTTTGTCTCGATTGTAGGAACCTAAGGTATCGGTCGATCACAAAGAGATAAAAACCGGGGAGCATAATGCAAGCGAAGCCAATGCCAGCATGCAATATGAAGAAGATGATGAAGCCAATGTAGAGATGGTGTGTGTAGAAAAAGAGCTCAAACATTTTTCTTCTTATGTTAGGGTAAGTTGTCACCCACAAAGTCAATCCACATAGTAAAGAGATTTCCCCAGCTATGTTTGATACATAATGGTCATTCCATTTAATCATCTGCACAAATTTCAAATTCATGAATGCAATGAGAAGGTGAAAGCAATTTTTAGAATTTTTTTCTTTTAATGTTTTGTACAATTGTTTTATTTAATACTTTTTATTTTTGCGTAAGTTCGGGTACAATAAAAAAGATGGCGCTATATATAGTATGTTTTGACCCGAACAATCAAAGGACTTGACAACAACCAAATATTTATTTGTTTTTATTTTCTGTATTTATAAGGTAAAAGAAATATAAATACAATTCAACAATTAAAAAATTCAACAACTAAATCGATGATCAGTGAGTCGGAGACCAACCTGGGTTGATTTGAAAACAATGTGACTATGTTGACTCAACACAAAGTGTTGGGAACTTTAACTAATTTAATTTTTCTCTTTCGGANGAAAAAAAAAAAAAAAAATATATTGACAAACTTTACCAACCAAAGTGTTGATTGAAATAATGTCATGATCTCAATCATGTCACAATCCACTTAGGTACATTAGAGAACCAAGTAATTATATGGTTCATACGAAATCTTTGGAAAAGTGACTTATATCCTTGAGTAAAATATTTTCATTTCTGCTTTTTTTGAAATTGCTGATCGTGGTCCCAATTTTTTTAGAATGATAGCAAAAAGACTAAGGCCATGCCAAAAAGCCATAACCTTTTTCTTTGTCAAAGCATCTTTTGTGACAATACCTACTACCAAACGTTGGACAGGACAATATGTTACAGACATATCGTGTTGGTCAATTTTTGGCTGGGATTTTCCAATTTCTAATGGTGCATTATAGTGGGTTCATGAGGGAGAATTTTCTGTCCCACTAAATTAAATTTCAAAGTTTATTTATTTAATTATTTGTCCCATTGTATTCACTGTCAAGTCTGTGTATTATAATATAGGATAAAAGAGCCTACAATGAGTGCTATAAATAAAAATAAAAGTACGAATTTAAGAAGTATTTGAGAATTTTAATTTTTTTTTTCATTTTTCAAATTTGAAGTATAAAATTTTGTGTAATACGTACACTAGTGTTATTACTACTATTAGTATATAACGTTTTGCAAATTGAACCAATGCATTTTTATTTTATGTTTAAATATTAAATATAAAGTTTTTGATTAAAATATTTGTAATATAGATGCATGTAGTTTCCTACTATTAGTATGCAATATAATTGCTAATTGAACCAATTTGCTAATATTCATCATCAACGANAAATAACTCCTATGACCAAACTCTTACGAATATATATACAAATCTGGTAATCAAATTGATTTCCAATAGTTGACCACATAAATATGCTACTTTTAGTGAACATCACATAACCTCACGTAGTGATAATTAGTTGCTTAATAACTAACTTTTCTTCTTCAAGCAATTCTTCCATTCTAATCAATTTATACCTAAGCTTCCATTTTACTTCCCTTCCTTTACACGCCATAATATTCAAATAAGATTTTTTTTTTTTCCTTGTCTTATTTTTCCTTTGCATTGACCTAAAATTTACCTTCACTGTTATTTGTCAAGCTTAATGAACAAAGTCATGTAACCTTTTTCATCCCTTCATACTACCAAGTCAATCTGTGGGAAAAAAATTTCAAAATAAAACAAACTCTACAACTACCGTTTCTACACTTTTGCAACCTCTTTTTAACGACTACCTAACCGAAATCGAAATATTCCAATAATATATTAAATCAGTCGAATCAAGAAAAAACTCTTGGAATATTATTATATCCAGTTTCACCCTCATGACCGGCACTTAAAAAGTGAAAAAGTCATACGTGACGGTTATATAAGTAGCAAAAATGCGAAAATAGTAAAAAAAAATCGTTAGAAATTAAAGGAAAATACAAATTAATCGCAATCAATTTATTATTTACCTCGGATATTCTGTTGGTCAAGGCCCAATAGACAATGTAGAGAAATCCATGAGCCGTAAAAAGGGCCATAGTCATGTGGCCGAGCCAAATGTGGTACTTAATGCTCGCCTCAGAAGTTAGCCCAATCATCGGCAAAATCGACGATTTTCTTGTCACAGGGTAGAATAAAAATGTTAGGCATAAATTCCCTGTTACCCCTGTTACTATAGCAACTCTGTCTAGCTTAGTTTGCCACCTGCACAAAAAAAATTAGAAAGAAAATGACAAAATGTAATCAAGAAAGATGTAAATATAGTGAATGGTAGCTTATGGAAATTAAAGAGAAAAAAAATGGGTTTTTACTGTTTTTTTAAACACCGAATTCGCCTTCTTGCTCTGCATAATTTTATTCGGTTCTATATCAAATTCGACTTCTATCACCAACCATTTACTCGTTTCAAATGGTAAATCACATTTTCTTGAAAGCAAGAGTTTTTTTTTTTTGGCAAAAACCAGAGTGTATATTTCATCGAGGGCATATATGTCAAAGTAACGTACATTTCATCCATCATGTACTCAACACGTTACAATGTCGATTTTTCGTAAAATTAATGACATATATTTTGAAAATGAATACAAGCATCCATGTAAGTTAATCATATATGTTGATGTAAATTAGTTCATTTAAATACCAAGCGTACAAGACGAACACGCTTGTATTGTTTTCTTGATTGGTCGTAAAAAGCTTTATATATGTAGGATAAATAAGCGTTATGAAAGTTCTTACGTTTTTTCATGTCTAGTCATCGAGAGCATGGGGACTTGCTTAAACCAGTGGCGCACGTAATACGCGAAATACCAAACACAAAGAGCAACGAACAATATAAACAGCACGAGCTCATTTATAGTGACGATACCGAGCCCCTTCACGATCATCGGCTTCTTCAAGAAATTTACTTTTGTGTTCCTTTTGCTGTTGTAGTAAAATACAACATTATTTCCATT